CCTCCTAGTCTTATTATTATTCCTTTGAGTTCTGAGTGGATAACAGGACTTCTGTAGCCTATCACCGCTTCACTCTTTTCCTTGCGATTTTTCTTTGCTGGTTACGTAATTCTCATAAGCCTTCGTTTTCTTCGCACACGATCTATTTCACGTCACAGTCAGAATCACAATTCATCATTTCGTATTCGACTTTTGCTTGAGAGTGTGCCTATAGCTTGTTGTTGGTCGGCATTCCTTCCAAAGTTTGTCCCATCCATTCTCTTTTACGTGGTTACTGGACATTAGATTCTTGGCTGGCTCATCCCCAGAGGTTCTTGCTGCTAATTGGTTTTCGTCAGCTATCTAGTTTTCACTATGGAGTTTGTAGCTTCCTGTTGGAAGCACTTTGCATGATGCACTGGCCAAGTCTCTAAAGCATTCAGAAGTACAGACTAATTTGACATTGGTGCTGAAAATATGAATCTTACTCCTCATACTTAGTTCAGTAGATTGCTACGCTGATTTCATAGGAATGAAGAACTATCTTTTTTCCTTGATCCTGCTGTTGATATCTTGTCTGTTCCATGTGCAGCTGGAACGACGTTGCTACGGTAAGTGGATGAGGTAACTTCCTTTAAATTTCTCTAATTGAATAGTGACTGGTTTTGGGACTCGTTAAATCCATGCTTTCTTCTCAAGATTTTTATTGAACATCTGCCTATACTTAATGGACATTACCTAAGTCTCTTGCAAAGTTCATTTTCAGATCAGATCAGATAAATCTTGTTTATTGAATTGAACACCTAATTAGATTTAGTTTGTACTATGAAGGCGTGAAACTCAGTGGGTGTATCGATAAAATGTTGCAAGTATATGCTTATTGTCCCAAGTATGTGTTTGGTTACAAAAACATTCAAATTGATAATAATCTAAGGTTAATTCTGAGGAAGTTACTGCATAATAGTTTCCCTTTGTCCAGGGTCCTCAAGTAAAGCAGTGAGTTACAGGACATCCTGGGACATAATGCTGTCTGGTCTGAAATGAAAACCAATCCCTTATGGTATTTATTCTTCGCCTTCTTGGAGATATGCACAATATCAAGATTGAAAGCCAATTGAGAAAGGTACAGAAGTACAATTTTGACCCAGTAACATAATAATAAAAGCTGTCTCAGACAGTGGTAGTTTACACTAAAAATCTCAGTAACACTTATCGCATGTATTAAGTTTAATAGAAATTCGAGAATCAATAGACTGTAGACATTTTAAATACTCGCAAGAATAGAAGACACCGTTAGAAGCCATATTTTAGTAGATTAAAATAAACTGAATGAGAGAAATTAGATGCAGTGTAGTGATGAAGTGTATTGGTAGCCCAAGTTTCAAACAGGCCTCCTTTGATAGATCCATTTGACTCTCATTAGAGTGCGAGAAGCGCATTTTAACTTATTCTGAACCCATCTGCCAGATGTATTTGCATTCCAAGTGAGTGATGGTATTCTCAGAGAGAACCAGACACGGCACTCATTGCTTCGAACACCAAAGCATTATCTTTTAGACCAATGAACCACGATTGGTTGTCTCCCTTGTACAACTCGTGTTGGCTGTCATTTGTTGGGTTAGAGTATTATCGAAGTACATCATCGCTCAATGGGGATGCAGACGCATCTAGCTGATGGAAGACATCCTGAATTCTATCGCTAGCTTCTGTCAACCAAATGATTTCATTTTAATCTTATGGCATTTTCGAAGCGAGTATACCAGGATTCGACATGTCAATAGAAACTGAATATATTTCATCCGACAAAATCATTTAGTGAAAAATTTGAATAATAGAATTAGCAAATAGATTTCTTCTATACTTATTCTATTGTGAATATAACTTCTGTTTAAGCATTTCAAAAAATGTCTTCAATATGCTCTCCTTATCTCTCCAGTTTCTCAGCAAGTTGTTCTTGAATTCTGGGGAAAGTTCTTTCTCAAGCATTTGAACGCCATGTTCTTACTTCATACACCATAAGTTAGACATCTGGAGATTTTCCATTCATCATAAATGATGGTTTAGGAGTAGAATGCCAGTCACCCATTTGGTCCGATTTCGATTCCTGGCCAAATAACCCTCGAAACTCACCTAGCTGGCAGAAGATCTGGAAAAGGAGGGAGGTTGAACTTGAGGATACCAAGCTCACCACCTACCTGAAAAACGACAAAACCACCGTTCCTGGAATTTCATAGTTGAAGTTTCAAGCCACTTGTTCCACTCGGAACTCAAAAGAAAGAAAGGAAAATATATCTGAAACAGGTGATTCAGTTACTCAATCATTTTCAGATTGGACCGCACTGAATACACATCTGCACAATATACATAAGGAAAATTTAATTATTAAAGTTGAGAAGAATACCTGTTAATATCTTGATCGGTAATATTACTAAATGACTCTTCAATATTTGTGGGTAACAGCTGTCTTCAATAGACGTGGGCACTGTGATGCAGTATAACTGTATTAGATGAGTGAAGGGAATCGGCAGGAAGCCTTCCAACTAGGTTTCGTTCTACTTGGCACTCACCAATAAAAAAGGCATACAGTCAGCCTAGAAGGAACTCATGTCCCTTCTGAGATTCCAACCCATGTCAACCGGTGAGTATTGCAGTCACAGACATTATCACTGAGCTACTAGGGCTCGCGACTGACCTCCCGTAGAACTTTACTGGATACTTTTAATTGGACACTAGTCAGTAACTAGTGTAATGTGTATGTCTAGTCCTTTCGTTGGTGCAGACTGAATTCCGTCATTTAAGTTTACAATGTGGCCACCATTCCACTAGGTGGCTCGTAATCCTTGTTCTCTGTAAATTGTTGATATTACATGGTTCGAATTTCAGAAATGACATGAGTTCCTTGAAGGTTGCAGCTACGCCTTACTGACGAGTGCCTTCAACTATGTAATATCAACAATTCAAAGTGCATCAAGATGGCGAGCCATCTAATGGAATGGTGGCCACATTGCAAACTTGACTGATAGAATTCAATTAGCACCAATCAAGGGACCATCAAGTAACATCACCAGACAAGCCCTCGAGTGGAACCCGAAAGCTAAGCGGTGAGGTCATGTGAAGAGGAGATGAAAGCATTTGGGCAGACTTGGAGCGGGATGAAAAAGTTGGAGGAAAAGCGAAGGCAATAAAGACGCGCAGCTGAAGCCCTATGTTCCTCTAGGAATTAAAGGATATAATAATAATAACAAGGGACCAGATACATTACATTAGTTACTAACTGGGATCCAGTCAAAAGTATAACTCTATAGCAAAATAAGTTTATCTGATAAAGGAACACAGTGATAGAGAGTAATTTATTTACTGAGGACAACTTGTTACTAAAACACTCTATCGCTGTGTGTTTTTATAAAAGAAAATGATTCCATTATAGATGACGTCTTCTTTAATTTTATTTGACGGGGATATATATAGACTTATTTTTCTTTTTATGCCCTTAGTTTTTGAATGTAACAAAGGGCTACAACAGCACACTTTTTGTCCTGTTCTCTGCCGACTGTTCATAAGCCATCATCACTTTCACGTCACCCTAAGACCACCTGCCAACTCTTCGTTTCCCATTCTAGTCCCATTTGACTGCCCTGCACTTCATGTCATTCTATTTTCTCCTCAAAGTGATTGTACGATGAATCTCCATTTTCTTTGGGATATTTATTTGGTAATAAGGTTCTTTTGTGGGCAAGTTTCCACGGTTCCTTGTTGCTCATTCTTTGTGATTGGCCATATGACCTTCAGTACTGAACGAAATCAGCTAATGATGAAAGTTTAAAGTCTCTCAGGAACGATTTTGGTTATGTGACAAGTTTCCGACTCATATAGAAGAAGTGACTTGAAATCAGTGTTGAAAATTAAGGATCAGACCACTGTTGATCTGTCTTGCCTTTCCGATCCTGAATGACCTTGATATCTTCATCAGTGTCATCCACCTGAGTGAAAGTCGTGACTTCCTTCAAATTTCTTCTGTTGATAATGTTTGTTGTTGTTGTTGTTGGTTAGCTAACTTCATCACCACTGTCTTTCCTTCGAGGTAGTGCTAATTAGTCGAGAAAACAGAAAAAGAGAAACAAAAAAATTAACAGCCATTAATTTCTAATTAATTAATTTCTATTATTCAGATGAGCTTAGAGAGAGAGAGAGAACCATTGTAAACCAAGGATCGCTGGATCGTTGTTTCGTCCCAGTTTGGGTCTCATCGTCAGCATGAGTTCAGCACCTTCAGGTTAGCAGTCTGCCTAGTAGACATTCAGCCACCGTGATTAAGCTCATAAACTCTTGTTTTCAACAAATATGCTTGAAACTTGGTAGTTTAATATTTCCTCTATCAAAATTGTGAGATTTTATCAATACAATATGCTTTTTTCATCTTGAAATTTTATTCTATGCGATCATTCTTCACATTCACTACTGCCTTAGTTTTTTTAAATTTACGTATGTAATATGATACTGTACAATGCAATGTAAGAGAATTTATTAAAATCACTTTATAGTTTTAAGTGATTGTAAGAAATATGGCGCCTAACATGACCAGGAAAAAATGACGAATTTTATTCGTCTTTATTTATTTGTTCACTTATCTTTATGCGTTTATTTTCCTACCATGTATAAATAAATATATGCGTATAACGTGATCATTGTTTAAATTTGATATTATCGTTTATTCCCCCAAAATCAAATATATATATTCATGCTTTTCAGTTGTTTTTTTTGGTGAGCTGAACACTCTGCGCACGTCCACTCATCCATCACAAAAATCGATTTGCGCCTGTTTGTCTATCTAACTATCCAGCCATCCACCCAATCCGTCAGTCTGTCTCTCTATCCATCCGTCTATCGAATCTAATGATTGGGTATTTATCAAAATTTTTAGACATGTAGCCTAAATTTGTGATAGGTTGTTTGTTCTCATCAGGCCGAAAAAAGTCGTCATCTTTAATGAAATATATTTTTATGCAAGATTTTTATAACATGATATGCTTTTCAAAATATTCGAATATTACCTATTTTGATATTTTAAGAATTTAAGTTAAGTTTAATATCTTGAAACTTCACTTTATTATTAATAAACAATATTGACACAAGCATTCTTCACACTATTATGACTGATAATCGTCATCAGTATATTGTGAATCAGAAACACGCATCACCTTTGGACGGAAATTGTTCAAAAGACGATGGGATAGCCTTTAGTAATGTCGGTGAAAGTCGTACATCAAATGCTGGTATACTTATTGAAAATGAACGTAAAAATGGGCAGAATTCATTTCAACTATGGAATTCACATACTTATAGTCATGTGAGATTTTGGAGACCACATAGTAAATGGGAAAGATTTCTTATTATCGCGATTATAATTCTATTGATTTTATTAATTATATTTGTTACTCTATGGGGAATTGAAATGGCTGCATATGAATGTAAGTTGTACTAGATATTTAAGTAAATTTATATTTTTATAATAGAATCTTATTCATATATTATAAATACTACTTATTGTTTTGAGTAGTGTAGATATAATTAGATTTTTTTCAACCAATTTAAATGATTTACTTTTGATTGGACACTATTCAGTAACTAGTGTAATGATTGTGTCTAGTCCTTTGTTTGGTGCAGACTGAATTCTATCAGTCATCACACTGCACTGGGAATTGTTGATATTAGATAGTTGGAGGAAACCGTCAGGAAGCCCAGCCTTACCTAGGTTTCGTTCTAATTGTCACCCCATCAGTAGGGTGCACCTGCAATCTTGGAGGAACTCACGTCCCTTCTGAAATTTGAACCATCTAATAAAAATAATTCATAGTGAACCATGTTAGCAAGCCACCTAGTGAAATGGTGGTCACATTGCGAAATTGACAGAGAGAATTCAGTTTGCACCAAAAACAAAGGACTAGACACAATCATTACATTAGTTACTCACTTGTGTTCAATCAAAAGTATCGAATACGGTCCTAATGGAGGTCAATCGCGAGCCCGAATACCTCAGTGGTAACTTTTTTTGACTACAATACACACTGGCTGATGCGAGTTCAAATCTGAGAAGGAAAATAATAATTTGCTTTATTCCAAAACAGTACTTGTGATACAGAGTGGAATTCTTAGCATTTTACTACAGTATTGCATCCACTTAGTACATTAACAATAAATAAAATTCTAAATAGATTGAGGAAATCTCACTTCATTATGACAACAACATATTGGCATGTTGGTAGCAAAGCCACAAATGAACAGATTGTTTGAAGGTGTTAGAAAAGTAGATGGTAGCATATTTACTGGCATGAGCAGAAGAAAGAAACAAAAGCAGCACATAACAGAGAAAAAAAGAGAGAGAGAAAAAAGGAAAAGAAAGAAGGAAAACGTTGTACCTATAAAAGATATTAGTTGGAAAGACGAGATCCAGTTGTTCTACTGACTATTTAATAAGTTATAGGTAACACGCCTATTGCTTTCTTTATCGCACAGAACACGAGCTAAGTAGGGTAGGTATGGTTGAGTTTTTGTACTTACTAGTGCGAGCATATAGTTTTCTATATAGGCTTCTGGTTTTGCCTGCCTGATGCGATACAAGGGGAGAGCTGTGAATGAAGAGGGTGGTGTGAGTTAGATAGATAGAATGGACTTAGCCCACTTTTCACATGAGTCCAAGAACCTGTTCACCAGAATATTAACCAGCTGGTTAGCTGGCACGTTGCTTACCCTGCTGACAACCTTTAACATCTTGCGTAATAAGGTATAGTCTTTCTTCAGTAGCCCTGGAAAAACTAAGGGGGAACAATAAAGAATAATGGGCAGGATGCAAGAGTTAACGAATCGTAGGCGTAAGGGTTGGGTTATTCCAGAATATCTTAACTTCCTTATGTAGAAGATAAGACGGAATATTTTCTTAGAAATCATTAAGATATGAGGCGACCAGGAAAGATCAGAAGATAGAATGATGCCAAGATGTTTAATTTCCGACTTAGTTTCTACTTCAGTGCCATCTATGTTGCACACCTCATGAGTTCTAACCAGTTTGTTTAGGTCAGATTTATGCCTAAAGGTGAAACTGACTGTTTGGCATTTAGAGGGATTTAAGGTTAGGCCGTTTTCCTTGGACCATTGACTGATTTCTGATAAAAAGCCATTTAGTTTAGAGCAGTCTTTTTGATACTTGACAGGCAAAGATACAGTCAGCTCGTCAGCATATTTGACAAAATTAATGTCATTTGAAGATGGTAGGTCATGTAGAAAGAAAGAAAAGAGAAGTTGGGAGAGTACAGCACCTTGGGGGACACCAGCTTCAGTGAGCACAGCAGAGGAGGATTTACCTTTGTATATGGTATACTGCATTCTGTTAGAGAAGTAGGAATGCAACAAGTTGGTGACCCAGGACTCAGTTAGTGTCATAGAGAGCTTATTTAGCAAGAGACATCTAGGTGCAGAGTCGAAAGCAGAAGTAAAGTTGAGAAACGTGCAACGGATGTATATGGCACCTTTATCTAATGATGAGACGATACTGTTATGTAAGATGGGTGCAGCGTCTAAAGTGCTCCTACCGCGTCTATATGCAAATTGTTTGGGGTCTTCACAGGTTTTAAGGGAGGGTTCAAGTTTAAGAAGTACTAATTTTTCCATAAGCTTTAGAAACGGGGAAGTGATGGCAATGGGTCTGAACTTTAAGTTCTTGCTGTTGCCGGGCTTAGGGACAGGGACTATTTTAATGTCTTTCCATGGAACAGGTACAACGTTTTAGGGGAAAGAAGCATTTAGGATGTTAGTTAGTGGAGAACATAAAGCATCTGCACATTGTTTTAGAACATATGCAGGTATATCATCAGGGCCAAGGCTATTTGAGGGCTCAACTGTTTCAAGACATTTTAGAACATCGAGAGTATTAAAGTCATGAAAGTTATCAGCTACATGGTTAGTAACCTTAGAAGTAGTTATAGTAGAAGGAGAGAGTGTATAAAAGACTGATTAATAGCATTAACATCATAAGAGGTAAAAACATTACATCGCTTACTATTGCCAGTAATTTCATTGAAAAGTTTCCACATGCTGATAGGAGATTTGCATGATAAAGGTGTATGGTTATAGAGTACCTTGGAGGTTGGAGATACGTCCTGTTGACTGGTGAGTTCCAACTAGCATGCAGCCGATTTGGAAGGCTTCCTGCCGATCGCCTTCAACCATATAATATCACAAGTAATTTTAAAAACTGTAAAAATAATCAACTTCATCATTAGTACATTGATTAGTAGTCTGTTGACACAGTTGTATTTTTCAGCCTAGTTGGCCAAAGTGAACTTAATCTTCTCAATAAAAAAGTCTATTTTTCAGTTTATAAGTCGCCATCAGCGTAAAAGTACCTGTCTTTATCTGTATTTCCTAATTTTCGTAGCTTCTTATGCGTGGGAAATTGAATTCCCTATATAACGATAAAAATTGGGCACTGTGTTAGAGTATAGCTCCATTGTGGATAAGATTTTATTTTGATAAATCACAGTGTTGTACAGTAATATTAACTAATAACCACCACGTTCCCAGCACAATTCATTAATGCTCATAATCATATCAAGTCACTCACTCATACAACGTTTTGGCTTCATTTATATTACATGAGTAAAAACTGATGATTATGATGAATAAAATCAATATAAGATAAAGTACATTCGGAAATAATATTAATGTTATCCATGAAATACAATAAGATGGGAAATAAGACGAGTGTTTTTATAGTAAAAATAAATAATTTGTTAGAATGTTTTAATTTGAATTGAATACACTTTGACGTTATTTATTATTCTCCGATTTGACTAATGGTAATAATATCTTCCATATCTCTGGTAATATTTGCTTTGAGTCACTTCTACTGCATGTGTTGTGTGTAGACTCTATTAACCAGGATCCAGTAATCAATCCCTCTCACTCTCCACCTACCTATATTACTTTTTGGAATTTTGACTTTGTCCCATTCACTCTATTGTGTGGTTGTGTGTTAATGCACTCAGTGTTATAGCTGAGGTTTTTCCTAAAATTACTTACCTTACTGGGATCAATCATTCTAACCTTAGCTAAATTCTTATGTTGTGAAAGGCAATTTCATCACTCATGATTTTACCAAAATAAAATTTTATGCATAATAGAGTTAAATTTAATTCCCCTGTATTGAGTTCTACATTTTTATTGTCAAAGCTGTGTAGGTGAAGAGGGAAATCAATCTTAAAGAAGGAATATCTATAACTCGAGTGGATATTATTGATATATATGTCATTACTCTGTTCATTGAGATGCATAGTTTAATTGAAAAGCTTTCATTTTCCACCTAGGCAACATCTTCAATGTGAAGATTTCATAGTAAGTTTTTCAAAGCAGTTACTGCTAAATATAGAAAAAACACCTTTTGTCGGAAGGAGTGAAGTACAACATTAGTATCATTACTAAAAATGAAAAAAAAACAAGCAAACAATTGAAATTAATTCCAATCCCCCATAATCTGAATGACAGTCAACAGCTGACTGATGGCTACTAGATGGATTTCTTGCAGCTGCATAGTGAGAAGTCATCACCAGTAGGGAACACCAATGTTAAAGTGAAGTAGATGGTCCTCAACGGCGCTGATGACAGCAGCGTTATATATATCTCGAGTTGAAAAACTTAGAATACAGGGGATCATTGAATTCCGTGCTGCTGTCCTAGAGGAGTGTTGGTGTTTCCGCACTGCTGAACAGTCCCGAAATAGGATGGAAAAGTTGTCCAGTACACCCTGATGTTAGTTTGGGAAAAAATCTAACGAATGAAATCAATCTCAGACCTCACAAACCCGACAATCTAAAAACCAAATACTTATTTGCTTCCCTGGAATTTTAAAAGAAATCATTCAAATTAGCTATATTGAAGTTAGCTCTGAATATATTGTCTAGATTGACAATGTAACCCAACAGTTGAACTATCCAGCTTAGATAACACAACCATTCCAGAACTAATTTTAAATACCACAGAAATTCGAACTAATCTAGAGTTTTGATAAATTCAAAGACTTTATTTAATGTCACAGTTTGTGTACACTGGTTTTGAACATTGTCACACTGACAATTTTATCGACTCTGTCCAAATAATGCTTTTTCATAAACTGAACTTCAATGGCATTCTACACAACTGTAGTTTACATAACCAAAGCTAATTTCGACCTTTCAGTGCATTTGTTTTTATTAATACACCTATATTTCTCTGCTTTCAGTGACAGTTGGTAGACATCTATCTTTGTTGCCAAATTATTTGAAGAAATTTATTAATTAAAATTATTAATATTATTATTCCTCTTAGTTCCAAGTGGAACATGCGGCTTAAACTGAACATCTTCATGCCATTCTGTTCTCCGAAGCCGTTTTTACGTGGCTCTGCGATTGTCCATAAGCTTTCCTTTTCTCCTAACACG